ACGGTGTGCGATAAGCTGCAAAATATTCCCAGCATTCGTACCGTGTTTTAAAAGAATTTTAATACTGTGATCATTTTATACAATTTCTAAAATTTTAAATATGCAGCGAAAAAAAAGAAAAAAAGATCAGTTTCCATAAACTATCGTGCGATACCGCGACTCAACTTTTTCGATATGCAACAATTTTGCGCAACAAATTTACGTGTTTGCATTTGATACGACGCACTGTTATTTTGTTGAATTTTAGATATTTAACAGTTCTAAATTTATCAATTTCAAATTTTTTAAAAATATCACATTCTACGTATCAAAAGTTTGATCGATGTTTTCTCTACTAAATTCCGGCGAATATTAAATTTTCCGTTTTATTGAATATCGTAATGTGTTGTATGTGGCCGCGACAAATCGCAAAAAAAAAATTCATTTCTACAGAAGGCAATCGGATGATATCGATCTTCCCGACATCAACGCAACAATTTCATACAACAAAGCGTTCGGCTAATCCATGACCCTCGCTGCAATTGCATCCATTATTTACGATCTCGGAATGCGTGCACACACGTCACAATGCGCCTGCATGAAGCACGTGTTTACCTCGTACGCGATAAACGTGACCGCCAACATTACGAATGCAACGTAAAGTGCGGTAAGGCCGTCGATTTGAAAATTGCTGCCTTTATGTCAATTTTAAGTTATGTTACATTCATTATTCCTCGTTCTTCATTACTCATTATGACTTATCTATATATCCTGCATTTCAAAAATTAAGAAAAAATAGAAATACATTAGCTTTTTACTAATTAAACTTCTTGACTAAAAATTTGTGTTAATATCTAATTTTATATTGATAAGTGATCTTCTTTGTAAAAAAATTTGGCTATAGAATTCTTTCTTTTTCTTGTGACAAAATTGTCATCTGCTAAAGTTATTATTTATTTGCTTTCAATTAAATTTAATGATCAGTTTCGTCTAATTGCGATTAAAATAATGCTCAATTTTAGGAATTCCAATATCACGTCGCAGTTTATTGAATTAATTAAGAATTATTTCGGTGAGTTATATTAAAACGTGCAGGTTGGAATTATTTTATGAAAGCAGATGTATCACAGTTTCAGAATGTAAGAGGGGTTATTTGGGGGTGAAGGAGGTCATTCGGGGTAAGGGGGAGTATTCCATACCGGAATAGCGACCCAGGTATACAGACGAAAAACGAATAGCAACCTCGTCTTTCATCCGATCGCTCGGAGAAGCAAGGCTAGCTTTTTTGGTCGCTTTAGAAAATATTACATTCAAAGATACTATTTGCAATATAACGTAGATATCGACAATCTCGTATCATAATTCTAATGTAAAATTGTTTAATTAAAAAATATATAATGATGGAAAAATTAATCACTATAATACTAAAAATTTCTCAATAATATAACAATATTATATATAATTTTGAAATTAATAAAATTGAAATAATATCTATGATAGAGAGAGAGAGGAAAGTGATTCTTTCAGAATCAGTTTAATTTCAGATTTTTTAAAGCTTTTTGTGTGCAAAAACACACGATAATGATGCAATTATATTAATAACATTATTAATAATAACAATGCAACAAAAAGATTGACAAAAAGATAGAATAGAATATTCTAATTAAAAGAGACTCTCGCATTTGAAATAATTATTACAAATATTTCAAATAATAAAATTTTTTCACATAAATTTTGCTTTAGCGAAACAAATAATTTTAATATATTAAAATAAACTTCATAATTTGAGAAGCAACCATTGTGTAGTCGCGATGAATCGAGAGAAGCCATCGCGAGATCGCCAGTCATGCGACTATTATAAAGAATTCCGTCATCGTTATGTTATCTTGGAGCTGTCGAGTTTAAAAAAAGAATTTTAAGAAATTTTAAGGAATTATTAAATATTCTAAAAAAACATTCAGAAAAGGAAAAAATTTTATTGCGCATTAAAAAATGTATTTTCTGCTAATGAATAAATAAGAATAAACAAATTCAGTAGATACACAAGGTAGAACGAAGGACCTGGCATATCATACCTGTCACTGTCCTTTTCTCCTCCCTTTCGTTTTCCCTAACAGTTTATAATTTACTTCCTAATTGCATGTAATAACACAGTCTGTTTTACTTTGTTCTTCCATTCAGTTACTTCGACAAGGAGCTCCATTATGCTTAGCGTTGTTGAGTAAATACTCTAAATACATCATCAAGATACATCCCACTTATTTACTTGCTTAGTTACGTAATAAACAGACAAAATAAATCAGTCGTTCAGTATAATCACGATGAAGAAAGTGGCTACATTAACCAGGTTTTTCATCAATTTGGACATTTGAGTGACGAAAATTTGTAGAATTCTCTTTTCAATATTTAAAGAATTAAAATAATTTTTAATTAAACAGGGAACATTTTTAAAACCTAGCAGACTTAATTTTTTCATGATTTAACTTCACTTTCCTGTACGACGTTGAAAAAGTTGTAAACGGATACATAAGTGATTCGTGCTATCGGTTGGTTGACGTATTTACCCAGATACGTAATTTCACAGCATGTCTGTTAATCTCAACTGACAATAAGACATTTTCGTGCGAGCTTATTCATATTTATTTTATTTTATGTATTGATTCAAGTTTGACATTAAAATATTCCGAAGCTTAATATAAGGCTTACGATAAATTCGGAGCAAACCCAGTAATAAATACTTTTCCATTGGAAAATATTTTCTTGCTCTGAAATTAATAACAAGGAAAACTTTCTTGTTTTGAAATATTTTCCCGCTTTAATATGATTAATGCGAAAATTATTCTTATGCCAAAATTTATATTCTACTCTCAAATTACGGGCAAAAGTTTCACAATATTTTTCACCTCAAGATCACGAATAAAGAATTTTACAATATAAATATATATGTATGCTTTTATACTTCAAAATTACTAAGGAAATATCTTTCTATTTCCAATCACATAATAATTTCTTACTCCAAAATCACTAATAAAGACATCTTTCTGGTTTCAAAATATTTCTCTTCCAAAATTAGTAACAAAGAAATGTTTTACTCAGAATACCGTCAAAATTATTAAGAATTATTAAGAAAACCTTCTCTATTTCTAAGACTACTTTTTTACTTTATAATTTGTGAGAGGACAACTTCTTTCACTCCGAAACATTGTTTTGCAAAAAAAACCTCGTCTGTTCCAAAATAATCCGCCGCTTTAATCACTGGGTAAATTTTCGACTTAAAAATACTTGCCTACTTCAAAATCATCAACAAGAAGACTCTTACACGCATCCACAAAAAAAAACAAGATAACGAGTACATTCGAAGGAACAATGATTATTATTGCAAGTACTCCGTTCTTTCAACACACACGTACAACGAAACTTTTTTTTTTTCCGCAACTTATCTTGCCGAACAATCGGCGAACTGTTACCAACCGAGTGCCAAACCGCACTTCCGCACCTGCAGCTGTGAGTTCCTGGCCGTGTGCGAGGAAACACAGCCACGAGGAAAACATTCTCGGCCGCTTAATTTTATAACAATATTCAATAGACATTAGTTAACATCGCGTCTTCGACAAACATTTTTCTCTATCTCTCCCACCTCTTCGGTATCGCTCCTATCCTCGTCTCTCTCTTGCTCTCTCGTCATCAGCAACTACGCCATCGCGAGATTCCGGCTCTTCGAATGAGCCTCTTCGAACGTATTTTTACACGAGGAGTGACGGAAAAGCGAGATAAACTCGCTCGCACTCACCGGTTCGCCAACGAGCGTCACATCTCCACGTCGCCGAGGACTGCCGCTTTTTTCCTCCTCGTCGTCGTCGTCGTCGTCGTCGCGCCGATGATCGTCGTCGTGCTGGCGGTTTCTCGTCCACCTCACTCGAGCACTTCGGGAAATAATTTAAATCAAACGAAATCTCTATATCCGGCGCGGTGTCACTGCGGCGCCGCGGTGGACAAAGCCATCTTGTGGAAGGCAAACACGCACGCACAAAACGGCACGATCCGCCTCCGAGCGCGGCGATCGGAGTCCTCTTGCCAGGATGGAAGGCGGCCGAATGAGGTCTCGATTGTAATGAACAGTTGATCGCGATGGCGCCACGAGACGACGACGACCATCGACGCACGCCGTCATCGCGTGCTTCGTCAAGATTGCGAGCGGTTACGCGGTTACCAGCGGCAGTAAAAGCCTGGTGAATCCTCCGCAGACCATTTTCGGAACACCGCTGATACCGACAACGTCGACGAAGCTCGTTCCGCGAGCTTCGAGTGATATTTTTGGAACGATGACGAAAGATTCGCTTACATAGAAAGTTGCATTCACGAACAGCGTGTGGCGCTTCAAAGGCGGCAAGTTTTGAAGTTACTCCGAGGATGAGTCGTTGTATGTTTAAACGCTTTGGATTTTTTGAACTGAATGGAAAGTCGGTCGGAAAGGCTAATCTTCGACCGAAACTGCGAAGATGGAGTAGAAAATGTTATTACAATTTTGTAAAATTTTTTAGAGCGCATCATAATTGCTCGGAATTTACAGACGGCCAAAGTAGCGTCTTCAGGAAAAAAGACGACAATTGAAGAAATCATCACTTAAAAGAAAAAATTTTGCGAAAAAAGAACATTTGTATGAAGAATATAACGTTACGCGACGAATTAGATTAATTGAAATAAAGCGTAAAATTAAAAAGATCAATTAAGATAAAGCATAAAATGAAAATAAAATAAGATAAATGGAGAGAATAAAGCACATAAAATCTTGGCGACTGTACGCTCGTCGTGTCGAGATGCAATTTTCTTAAATAGATTTTATTCGAGAGCACTAAACAATTATTATCTACGTTCTACAACAAGTATATCCTTCTGCCTTCGTTGAGACGCTGCTTCGTCCTCATTTTCGGGAGAAAATGGCGTCGCGAAAAAAAAGGATCGCACGATATTTCTTATAAATAGCGCAATAAATAGTTTTCTTTCTTTCCAATCCCATTTTTTTCTCTTCACATTGCATCCTTTCTTTCTCTCTATCTCTCTTTCGCTCTCTCTCTCTTTCACTCTCGCTCTCACTCCTCCAAGCAAGTAAATCCTTATTGGCACACTCTGTAGTAGATTCTTAAGTATATAAATAAGTCGTAAGTCGATGGCCTTGTTAGATTATTAAATATATATGTATATGTATATATATACTGTATATGTGTATATGAATATCCAATATATCTTTACGTTGTATATGACTAGAACTCCTCGACACATACGTATCACATACTAATATTGACTATCTGTTCCGACGAGACCCGGAAACACTTCGCGCTCCGAGTCCTGGCGACATCTTTCGTCCCTGCGGCCTTCCAACGCGAAAGTTTCCTGCATCGACCACGCAATTTTTTACAAACTTTCTCACCTCTTTGTTCTTTTACTTCAAGTGTAATTCGCAATTTATTTTTCCGCTCGACCTTCTAATCGTAGAACTGCAATTTCGAGAACTCTTTGCAAAACTTTGCGCTTGTCAGTTTAGAAAAGAATTACATGTTCAATGATCCAGTGATTGAAACGCTATTCCTTCGAGAATCGACTGTCGGAGGGACGAAAACGCGCCGTCGTCTTATTGCTGCATCATTGACTGTAGGATCGTGAGTGTAAATCACTTAATCGCTAGTACTTTCGCAATACTTTCGCAATTCTTCCTCCCAAATCTCATCTGCACTTCAATACGAGTCTGATTAATCAGCTCAAAAAATGTAGTGCCACTTGACTTTATCGTACATTTTATTTTTTCCGTGGAAAAAAAAGTATATCTTTCTCATAATTCGATTGACGCTTATTTCGATATTTCTTTAATAAACTTTTGATTACGCTTAAATATTTTTTATTTTATCTTAATGTGCATCCTGTTACTTTCACGGAAAAAATAAAATCGCACGCTTCGTCATTTTGATTTTCAAATATAAATAAGTCATTAATTTTAATATTTAGAAAAAACTAATCCGGACTTCTTGGTGTCCGTTAATCAGCGCGTTAATGGTATTCTAATAATTAATACTTTCAAAGGCGCTGTCATTAATACTCTATTAAAATTTCATCTTAAAAGTCTTGCAAACGATGTCTTACATTGATCATCAATCGTCATCTTAAAATTGCTCCTCTCGCTATTCGACTCACCTTCTACCGGTTTAATCCTCTGACTCACTTATCGCAATTAATTAACGTTTTTTATGAGAAAAAAAAACGGAAGAGAGAAAATTCATTGAGCAGTCGCGAAAGAAAATCGTAAAAGAATTCTTTAATTCGATTCTCCGCTGGCGACCGTGCCGTCGGTCGGCGGGCCGGTCACGATCTGAGGATCGTTCGCGGGTAATCCTTGCATCTCCTGCACCCCCTGAAACAGCTTGCCGGGGAATCCCTGCAGGAGATCGTAGGAGACTGGCGTGGGCGGCAAGGCGGTGGTGTGCGCGTGCGGCGATTGCAGGACGGCTATCACTCTTCGCAGCTCCTCCAAAGCGTTTCCTGCGATTCGTTCAATTAATTACAATCATGTGATAAACTAAACTTCGCATACAAACCCTTTATAAACAAATCAAGTTTATGTTAATCAAGGAACTTAATGAAGATTCTCGAATGTTCGCGCGAAATAAGCTCGTTACCTTGCATGAGGATGTAATTTTTCGCCAGGAGAAGAGTGGCTATCTTCGAGAGCTTTCTCACCGAAGGACTATGAGCGTAAGGAATGACGGAGCGAAGCTCGTCCAGTGCGTCGTTCAGATCATGCATTCTCCTGCGCTCCCGTGCATTAATATTCAGCCGCACGCTCTTCCCTTGGCGAGTCGTCTTTGATTTCGGCGGGCAATTCAGTCGCGAAGCCGAAGGTCTGACAGAAATAATGATACACGTGCGTCAAGCTTATTGATCAGAAACTTGGGTGTCTCTTCGGAATACAATTCACATTTTCAAAACTCACTTTTTTCATCAACTTTTTATTAGCTATTATAATTTGTACTCAAAATTGAGAGTATGATTAAGAAGACGCACCTTTCTTCCGGACGATTTTCGTCGGATAACGCGCTGGACGAAGCGTGCGGTTGTGGTTGTTGCTGAAAGTAGAAACCACCAAGACCCACGGCGCCCAGCGGTGTCCTTCGTCCTGGTGCGCTCTGAGTGTGTTCCGATGAGTATGACGCCTGCGGACCTGAGACACCCGGATGCGAAGCTCCGGGTGCCGAATACACGGATTCGAGGGCCCCCGCGGACTGCGGAGGCAGCGGATGCTGCAAGAGATATTTTTTATTAGCGTTAAAATAATGTTTATTACGTTATATTTACACTAACATTGCATAATAAAATATTGTTATGAAATAAAATAATAATGCAAATTAATGTTTCTAAACATTAATTGTATTTAATAATTTTACAAGAAATACTTTGTAATCCTTTCTCATTTATATAATTTTGTAGTCACTCACTTGTTTATGTTAAAGTTTTATTTATTTTAGTTTATTTGCTGCGCACTGTTTTATCGAAAAAAAAAATTTTACGTATCTAATTAATTATTTATAGTTAGTTTCTAATTTAATTTAATTATTTACAGTGTTGCGATGTTCCCAAGCCCAGGTAGGATGTGAAGCTGTGCGTTGCCAAGATCCTTGCTGCAGATGTGCCTCCGGTAAACCTTCCCTGCGATCGTCGTCCTCCGTCGAGCTGCTCTCGCCGTCGTAGGACCTCATTCTTGGTGAGAACACTTCCTCGATTTAACAAATCCTTTCTCTTCCACGTCCTTGACGCCTAATTAGCAAATTTTACCTTTAAATTCTTCGGAAACAAATTGCTGATCTCGTTCAAATTTATTTCGTTTGTTTTATCAATGAAACTTTAATTTCTGAATTTTCATATTTTCCATAAATAACTTTTAAATCTCGCGTCAGCTTCTTTTTACTACGGCTAGTTTTTATTGCCAAATTTTTCGCATTTTTTATAAATAATCTCTCGGTCTCGTTGAAATTTTTTATTAAATTCCGGTATGTTTTACAAATAAATTTTAAATACCGTGTGAATTTATTTTATTAACGCAATTTTTGCTTGCAAATTTTTCACAAACAAATTCTCTATTATGCGCGATATTTTTACCTCTTGATAAATTTTTGTATTTTAATTGTTATATCGATTTTTGAGTAAATCTTTATTTTTATTTCCGTATTTATCAATGAGCATCCCCGCCACTCAGGGGGGCGTCATCGGGCCGGTCTAATGCAATCAATAGCAAGTGGAACACTTACCGACGACGATTTTCTTTTTCCACCCCCCGCGCGTCACCCTCCCCGACCCCACCACGAGGTGCAAAATCCGGCGATCAGCAAAGTTTTTTGCGCACCAGCGCACAGCGCCGAGTCATCCCTCCGTCCGTGCTTTTCCTTACTTTTCCGTCGCGAATAATCGGTTCGTACTTTGGCTTATAATCCTGATCCTGCGTGCGACCGCAACGTCCTTTATTATCCTGTCGCCGCAAATCACTCGGTGCCGACTCAGCCAATCACAGCCATTTTAATTCGCTGTCTACTCGATGCGGTCGAGAAAAAAATTTCGCGAGTTCTTCGAAATCTTTTCCGTTCCGCAGGATCTCCGTCTCGCAGGATCGTTCAATTCTCGCGATTGTTGGATTCGAATCTCGTGTTTTTCGATGACGGCCGATAAATTTATATCTGACGAAATTTATCGCGCCCGAACGTGGCACGTCCGTGGCGTCGGGGACACGCACGCGTCTCTCCGTTGTTTCGGATAGTCCTGCGCAACCCCCGAATTAATTCGGCCGCCGTGTACCAGGGTGCGCCCGCCGCGGCCGAGAGATGCTGCGCTGGACCATCGACTGGCGTACTCTGGTGAGCCGTGCCGGAGGTCCTCGCGCAGCGCGTCCTTCCGTTACCATCAGAAAAGGAAAATCGTATCCAAGAGAGGCAAGAGAAGTCGCTAGTTGCCGGATGTATATTTTTGCACAATGAGGACAAAGGAGCTGCGCAATTTTTAATTCGCGATGAAAGTTATTCGTGAGACGAAAAACATAAATAATTTTTCTCGCGACAGAAAATAGTTTGAAAATTATAACTAAAAGGATAAAAATAACACTATATCGCAAAAAGATAATTTTATAATCAAAATTAATAATTATAAATGTTGTACAAACAAAAACAGAGCATTCAATTAATTTTTTATCGGGAAAGATTTGCTTCAAATTTGCCAAACAATCTTATGTAGCAAGTTAATCTTTGTTTTATTAGTTATTAATAATTTTATTGTGATTAACCATTATTAATAATTTGCATTATTTGTTTATAGAGATAACATATCTAAAACAAATTTATTCACTCAATTATTAAACATATTACAATATTTATTGTAACATTAGAGATACTGAAATCTAAATTACGATTATTATTATATTTCAATATTAATGCTGCATCGAATATTGCATTGATATTACTTTTTGTCAAACACGAAATTTTAAATTATTTTTATAACAAAATTGATACCAAAATTAATAGCAACATTGCGATATTGGCAAAAAATTGTTCTCCTCATCGCCGAAACTCCCTTTTCATCCATCGTCTGTGCCTCGTTGACGGCTCGTCGACGACATACATACATCGTCGTTGAATACGATTAACGAGCACGCGTTAGTGCGCGGAAAAACATCGCGAGAGTCGCGGGGATGCCGAGACAATTCGGCGACGAGAGTCATCCCCTTCGTGCTAGTGAATCACCCCGCAGCGCTTCGCCCACGCCAACGCGCTCGGCTACGGGGTTAAGTTTTACTTTTGCGTCAAACGTGTGTGCGTGTTTACCGTAAACATGGACGTAATATCACGAATAGCGGCGAAACGGTGCGCGAGATGGCCGCGGCTTCGGCATCGCGTAAATTAATCGAAGAGATTAAACGAAGGGACCGCCGCTGTTTGCGCGCACGCACTTCGTTTCTCGAAGTGGGTAGGATAATTAATACGAGATAATTAATATGCGCCTGAGTATTCGGAGATGACTAGCTGGATGTTTTACGCGCAAAATAAATCCTCGAAATAAATTTTCCGTTGCAATTAAAATATATCAAAGACTCCTTGTTTTATTATTGCAAATTCCATCAATATTCTCATTTAGTAGACATTATTTATTTAGTAGATATTATTTCAGAAAATATTATATTAGATTAATACGAAACAAGAATATCTCAATTGAAAATATATATATAAGTGGAATACATTTTTAATAAGATCAAAAATACGTAATTTGAACAATTGTATTAATTTTTAACACGAAATTATATTTTTAAAACATTTATCTCGAAAATTGACATATTTTCAATGTTTCAAAAATGTTGAACACAGTTTTGCGAAATTTAATCCAATTTCAATATTACTTTATTGATATTAAATGTAGTAAATATTTGACAGATTTTAATGCTAGTAATTTGGCGAACAATAATTGGCCAATTTTTACATATTTAGATTTTCATTTCCGTAATTTGGCAATGAAAGAGTTAAATTATTACGCGTCGATGTGCTGTGCTCGCTCGCGAGATCTTTCTGGGTCGAGCGGCATTCACAGCACCGAGAGATTTATCGCTTCCTTCGCACCGAGAAATATCTCGAGATATCTCAAAAATAATTGCACGCGCACAATTCGCTTTTGGAAACAAAGCAAAATTATTCGTTCCGACAGATCCATTATTGGCGAAGCGTAAAACGCGGTAATTAATTTATTAAAGATGGGATTTATTACAGCAATATATAATTCTTGTTTGCATACATTATATTTTTAAATTTTTATATTTTTTAAATATTTTCATTAGCAATGTGTTACTTTATACATTTTTTAAATAAATTTTAAAGCGGTTTATAAAGATCGTCTTGATTAACATCAGGTATTAAATGCTTATATCTTTAATTATTTCAAATATGAAATTATTCAGGATTGTCGTCGCAGTTACTTCATTCCATCAACGCTGTATTGTTTATTAAAATGCTACACATATTTTCTCGTAAATTTTAAACAGGACAAATGAGTTATTTTAGAATATTTCAACGGCATCATTATTATTTCCGATAACATCAAAAAGCAAAGCGTTTTACTGTAATTCCGCGTATCATTTATTAACCCACAGCGTATGCATTTTACTTCATAAATATCGAATAGCTCGAAAAATATATCTTCCAAAAACATGTCGTCCTTATCGCTGTTTCCGACAACATCATCTGGAAGCAGGCGCTGCCCCGATTATTTCCGAGAGGCGAAGAGAGCGGGCGGAAGGAAAACCGAAGGAAGAACCGGGGAAAAAGGATCTCCGCGCGTATGCACGCGTATGCATTGTATCTACCGAGAGCGTACCGTTCGGCACGTATAGATCGCGAGCTCGATGACGGTGCGAGCGAGGCGGACGCGCGCGCGCGAGGGAGACGCTGCGAGACGGAGCGCGGGCGGGGGACGGCGGTCGGCGTTCGGGGGTGGTTTTCGGGCCGACGGGCGGCCGGCCCGAGTCCTGAGGGATGAGGGACGACGAGGGGTTGCCAAGGCAACCCTCCCCGTAGCCAGGCCAGCCTCGGCTTACTTTAGCCCGCGCGCGCTCGCTCTCGCGCCGCGCGATCAATACAGCATCCCTCGGCGGAGCTCCCGGACCAAACGCGC